TGAGATGTGATACCTTTACTTGAATATTTATTTAGAAAGCGTGAGATGCGGTCTGGTGTGATGTAGGTATCAGAAAAACATTTTCTTTATCGTGCCAACGTTTCAATCTTTAATGAGATCATCTTCAGGGCCTGAGATTTACAAACATTGTTTACATATAACAATTACATTTTGGATGTGGAAAAGTGAATTTATACAATGCAAAATATATTTTTTTTTATATATTCAGTCAAAGTATTTCTACTCCCTCAAAGTGTTTGTCTTCTGTGAATATATAAAAAAAATATATTTTGCATTGTATAAATTCTCTTTTCCACATCCAAAATGTAATTGTTATATGTAAACAATGTTTGTAAATCCCAGGCCCTGAAGATGATCTCAATAAAGATCGAAACGTTGGCACGATAAAGAAAATGTTTTTCTGATACCAACAACACACCAGACCGCATATCACGATTTCTAAATAAATATCGATTAACGGTCAGTAATCACCACACACACCTTTACTTGAAGTTTAGTCCTTACACATCATCAGCAGATTTGGTCTGTCGGCCGGTTCTCGACATTTCGCCATCTTCAATGGCGTTCCATCCAAACATGAAAATCAACTTAAAAAACTTAAGGCCAAATGAGTCACATAATGGCTTGAAAATGGTTAATTTATTTTTCATGCAATAATAAACCTCGAAAAGAGCACAATTAAGACAAATTAATACATAGAACAATAACTAAGATGGCGAGAAGCCGAAACGCTTCTGACAGACCAAGCAATGATTCGAGATTGATTTAAAAATCAGTTGTCAACAGAAATATCTGTTAGTTTTCGCGTACCCAAAGTACTAGAAGAGAAATGTACTGCTGGTTCAAAACGCAATTTTCATCAAGATGGACCACTATAATGGGTCAAATCCCCGCTGATAGAACTTATAGATAGATAAATTGAGTTATTTCTCGATAGGAATCCACTTAGTTCTACGGATAAGGATGTTCACCACCTCTTTCCGAGGCATGCTTTTTGAAGTGCCCTCAGAATTTTTAAACAACAAATAAATACAGTCTACCGACCATGCGCATAGACTGTACTGTACTACACTAAACTGTACAGAACAGAATACAAAGAACCTCCGTGATTTGTCCCAATTGCAAATATAATTTATTTCTATCACAATATCTCTAGTGGTTAGGTCCACCTCGCTTAGATCATACTGGCCAACATATAAGTTTTTGCATTTCTGAATGATTTTTTTTTTTTTTGTAATATATTGTATTCATATTCTATACGTCAAGATAGCTCAAATGGATAGAACAACGGCGTATTGAGCCGAAGATCGTGCGTTCGAATCCCGCTCATGACATCAATGTTTCATCTCAACCAAAAACCTTACATAAAATGAATAATTAATATGTCAATTATGACCACTAAGCAAATATGGATTATACAAATGGCGGACCATCTAAGGAGGGAAACAATCAAGATCACACCGTCAGGTTCAAAATTCGATATTGAGTGTTCGCCAACGTTATAATTGAAGTACAGTTAACTTCAGTTTAAAAAATCCGATTTAAATTAAAACTCGCTCGTAATGTTCACAAACACATACAATTTAACACAAGCAAAAATTGTTCGGAAAATCGGCGAAATATCACCGAAATAACGCATTTTTCACAGAAGCGAAGTGAACCTATCGAACGTACTCAAGAAAGATAATTTCGGTTGTCATCCCGGAAGTATAAAATTAGTAGAATAGTAGATTTTAATTATACGCAACCGAATGCAGACCGCAGGTTCACAAAGAAATATAGTATAGGTATATTTTTCCATTTAGTGAAATTTTACGTTATTAACAGAACTCATATTGATAATTGAAATTGTCACTTTACTGGGTGTACTTGCGCTGGTTGATGTTTCACTTAAACCTTTTCCAGCTTCACGCTATCTTCAGTGAGATACATACTAACAACGAGCACCAACTTTCACTTACATATTTTTCCTTAAGAATTAATTTTGCCTGCGTTATTGATTTCGTTGGTTTAACAAGCCATTTGAATACCATTGACTTATTTTCTCATGATCTATAGTATCTAAAATGTCTATATTTATCTTTAGTTTTTTAGTTACTGGCAATAGCGCCATTTCTAACAAACTTTTTAAATCTCAATCAATCCTGCATCGGTATTAATATATTGGAGTGAGAGAATTTAAAAAATTATTTTTTATTTCCAAGTTTTATACACTGACTGATAATAATGCAATTTAATAGTGCTTCCAACTTCTGTATTATTTATTATGGATAATGAAAATTGAAAAATGGGAAAAAGGAGGGAAAATTCAAAAGGTGGGGGTTGAGATGGGAAGTTCGTGTCTGAGAGGATCGAAGTCACGATAGCTCAAAAGGTAGAGCAACGGCGTTTCTAGCCGAAGGTCGTGCGTTCGAATCCCGCTCGTGACACTGACTTTTTATCTCAACCAAGACCTTACATAAAGATTACTTAATTGAAAAAAGTTATTTGGTCAATCGGACCACGAACTCTAATGGATAATCTTATGACCTTAAACATCAGTTCTTCAGGGAGGAGTTGGATTTTCCACGGATCTGTACGAAGGATAACTGGATCATCGGTTCAATATTTATTCTTTGCTATTCCTTCTCAAAATATACAGTTTAAGGCAAATTCCTCGGATAAATTTAGACGCGTATAATTGGCTCTTCTGATGCCTGGTAACAAAATAGAGATTCATAGTACAAATAAATCCAGCCAATTAAGAGACATAATTTCTAATCATTATTTTACCATTCGCTTATGTTGAGAGTGTTTTAAAATACGCGCACCGTATAATTGTTCGTCATTGGGAATGAAGGAAGTCAAATCATGCCAACGTAAACGAGCCATTTTTTAAAACAAACCCCTGATTAAGAACAAACAATTAGTGGCGATATTTTTAAAACTGGGGCGACCTTGAAACCCGGAAAAATTCCAACACGCAAAGAAATTAAGTGGAAATAATCGGTTCAGTGTCGCCTGACTATCTCGAACCGTGAAACTTACCGGTCCGACTTAAGTTCCTTTAACGTCGAGTTGGCGTGTCGACGATTAATCGATTCTTCGGACGTGCAGTTGAACGGAGCGACACCTACAAGTAATAGTGCCTACGCAAATTGAACGACATGAATACTAAGAGGGACTCCAGCAGAGTAGATTACTATGATCAATCCAGTTGGATTAACCCTTATCCGGTCTTAAATTGGATTTTGATATAATAAACTTACTGTCAACGGGGTTGGAATAAAATTCCAAAGGCTATAAATGCTTCGACTACGTCTACTATACAAAGTTCTGCATGTTTAAACGTTACAAGAACTTTTTTAACTTTTTTTATGAAATTACCAATCCTAACAAAATTGACTAGGTTCAAAAGAAAAGAAAAAAGAAAGAGAATACACAATACTGACAACTTATTTCCTTCAACTTAATTACTTTCCTGCTCTAAAAAGGACAAGTATAATGTGACAATAATTAAATTTGAAGATGATATTGAAACCATGTAATTTAATATATTATTATTACATATATATATTTTATATATTCAAACAAAACGAGAACAAGTTTTCTATACCAAAGGGTTTTCTGTAAATATTGCACTGGGACTAGCTTAGATAGAATCTGCATTATACACGGTGTAACTTTTTAAGTCCCACTGGTTTTCTCAAAACCTCAACCTAGAAAAAAATTTAACATATTTTTCTTAGCATAGGCTCTATTATCCAACACTACAAATTTTTCAGGTTTTTGAGAATTTATTTTCAAAAAGTTGAAAACAACCATTTATATTAAAATGGTAGAATATTTGAAAACAAAAATTTCGTCTTTTAACTTTAAAAAAAATTGAAAAACTATAATTATGGCAATGTTTTAATCTAGCGCTTATAGTAAAAAAAATGCGTTATTAATTTTTTTTTCTAAGTTGAATATTTTTTGAGAAAACCAAAGGAGAATAGTAAGTCGAAACCCTGTGTAACGTTTTTATGAACGATTTTTTATCATAATGATTTTACTATATGATTTTATGTTTATTTTATTAAGATCATTTTACGATATTTTCGCTATTTTTCATCAAATCGAATTGACGTGAACGATCTGTAAATGAAAATGGAAGTTACCATTTAAAAAAAAAACTTTCATATTTCAATTTTATTAACACGTTTAAAAAAATGTAATTTTTGCAATGCTTTAAAGTAGAACGAATGCTTTAAAATACGGATTAATTTTTTGTTCTCGGTTGAGCAGTTTTTGGAAAAACCAAGGGATACACTTAGGAAATTGAAACCCTTTGTATAAAACGTTTTTATTATTGATTTATTTATTTTATTATTTATTGTAATGATTTTGTTATAGGATTTTATATTTTTTTTAATAAGATGATTTTGTGAAATATTTTCGACAATTTTCATAAAATCTAATTGACTCAATGAATCCGCAATTGAAAATGTAGTCTAAACATTAAAAAAAATTTAACTTTTTTAAGAAATTGAAAAAACTGTAACTATTGCAATTTTTTAAAGTAGAGCTTAGGCTAAAAAAAATACGGTTTATATTTTTTTTCAGGTTCTGTAGTTTTTGAGAATAAAGGGGGACTATTAAGTTGTAACTAGATTTTTAAACAACTGTAATTATTTCAACATTTTAAAATAGAGCTTATGGTAAAAAAAAGTACTGTTTAATTTATTTTATTGTGTAGTTTTTGATAAAACTAGGATGAAAATAATGAGTTAACACCCTGTATATCGTATTAATAGACGCTAAAGATAATATGTGTAATTGCATTATCTGATTAATATTTTAGTCCAGCATAAGTAATAAAACATAAATATGCTCACGGTTTTTATCATGTAAAAATATGATCGTTTATTAATTGTTTCTAATGAAATAAGACTATAAAATAACCACAGGAAAATTGCAACGACGGTCGAATTTTTTTATATCTACATCGATTTTTGTTATCTCGTACTTGACTTATGTCAAGAGACACGTTGATAACGAGTTTTCAGTCTGTTTCTACCCATAAAACGAGAACGAGGATTATCACATTACGGAGTAAGTCGGTTTGCGTAATTGCACCAATTTTATTTTCCAATCCCGCATCCAGGAAATAACGTTTGTGAATTAAAATCGTAAAGCGTACACGTTCAACGTATGCACACGATGGCAATTATTAGAGGAAAATTCTGATTTCCGAGGTGAAAATTCACAGTGGGATAGGTTGTCGTGATGTGAGGTTACCGCGGTTTTAAAATCCTTGAAACCGATTTGTAAAAATGAACCTAAGAAAACTAAGGTCAGATTTTACCAAATTAATTTTAATATATAGTATTACATATATTGCGATATAGGATGTTTTCCGGATTATTGTTTAATTTTGAGAATAATCGACCGATAACATCTACAAGTGAATTTCGAACACTCGAATTTTGTAATCTCCAAATATGTTCCAGTCTCGCAAGATATCGAAAAATGCTATTAAATCGTAAACTGTACAGTGTTGAGCATGCAACGAAAAAAACTTGGAATGCTTCAATATTTTTATTATTTGAAGGGTTGTTATATAAAATTTCATCATATCATTTGAAAAATTTTCCGCCTTGAAAAAAGAAACATTCTTGCAATGCCAAACCTGGATTCGTTTGTTACATTTTTCCCTCTGAACAATTTTGCTTAAAAGAACCGGCATACAGAGGAATAACTTCACATTTCCATATAATACATTTAAATATATCAACTCGAAAATATATAATTTAAAAAATATGATATTATATATATNATATATATTCAAAAATATGATAACACCTATCAATCCCGATATTTTTTTTACTTGCTCACCTTAACTAACGTTTTGTTTATATCTATAGTAATATTATTCTTTACCTGGAAGTTAAAAATACATAGCATAGACGACAGTTTTATATTATTTTGACTCTTGACTTGAAAGAGTCAAACCGTATAAAGAGTCTTTCTTCCTTAGAACACAGAGAGGACAGAGAGAGGCTAAGATTTGCAATGAAAACATCAATTGTAGACTGTAGAGAAATGGAAAAAAGTATTCACAGGTGGGAGAAAAGTGGCCCTTAACAGTCCAGATGATGATGGGCAGGCTTCATGTGAAAAAAGTTATATTTCGAAAAGGGTCTAACATCCTCTAGGGCAGCATTTTTTGGGAGACATGTACAGAATTCCTGCCAATCAAGTCGTATCAATAAAGAGGATCACGTGTTTTATGCCTGGCATAAAATCATAGTTGCGCATGATAATGCTTCGCCACGTAAGGTGTTGCTGATAGACCACATCTATCCAATCCTTTGGGTCCGGGCGGACACGTTTGGTAAAATTCAAAAGAAAGATTAGGTCAACGGATCAACCGATTAACCTAGAAACTTTGTGACTAATTTTACAACACTGTTAAAACTTTCACTCTGCACAATGTTAATTTTTTTCTTTTTAGACCGGTCTGTTTTAAATTTGCATGCAAAAAACCTCTTACATAAGTTTGATAAAGATAATTCATAATGAGGCCACATTAGTGATCAACTCTTTAATGTTTAGTTATTCAGATATCGTGAGATGCGGTCGGGAGTGATGTAGGTTTCAGAAAAACATTTTCTTTATCGTGCCAACGTTTCAATCTTTTATTGAGATCATCTTCAGGGCTCAAAGTGTTTGTCTTCTGTGTAATTGTGCCATCCTTGTGTG